TTCCTAGTATTACAGGACTTTCCCAGAAGCCACCAGCAATAGGACTGGAGCCTGTGCTCAAAAGTCATCCGCTTGATGGCACTGTTGACTCACAAATACCAGCAACCCTGGTCTCCTCTCTGCTCCCTCCGCCCTTTGGTTCTGTAAAAAAAACAAAAACCAAGGCCCACAAGTCACTACACTTTCAAGTGGGTTTTACCTTATTTATTGTATTGGGGCTAAATCGTTCTTTTCCGTTTTATTTTATTGGTTTGGGGTTTTCTTTGGACACTTTGAGGGGAGCAGAAAGATATGTGTGGGGACCCAAAAATGCTTGCTGGAAAATGGAATTTTTCCCAGAACCTCCAGAAGTCTCCTCCTATGTGGACAAGTATGAAAATCATTCTGATTGCTGTTACAGTTACAAGTACGCTTGTCTTAAACACTACCAAAACTGTAAGAACATTAAATCAGAATCCTCTGTTACTAGGTACTTAGATTTACACATGTACACACCCAGGTCTTCTTAGGTAAGGTTTTAGCTTTCACTTCTTGCTGAAGACATCTCTTGCTGAATTCTTGATTTCTAGCTTGCAAGCAGTGTATTGGCTTTTCTGGATTCATTGAGCTATGTCATCCAGGGCAAGGACTCTGGAGGCCAGGCCCAGTTGGGCAATGTGGCCGCACAGCTATTCTCCTAAGTCGTGGCAGGTCAGAAGGGAAGGTGGGCGATAGATATCCTGGTGTTCCATCAGGCATGCCAGGTACTTGTTGCCCACGTGCTGTCCCAAATTGGAGGTCCACTGTTCAGGAGAAGACAGGTTAGGGTGCCACACAGGCAGGCACCCTGTGCAAGGACCATTTCTTTCAGTATCCATCATGAAGCGCTAGCTCCACAGACATTGATACCGACACAAACACAGGTGTTCCTTTTTCTTTAAATGCCATTTAGGTGCTAGGGTTGATTCGGCCACATCCAAATCAAAGAAAACACCCAAGGCCACTGTCCTATGGCCACTTGCCAAGCCTGTTATTCTCTCTTCCGGCTTTTGTCCCAAACTTCCTTAGAAGTCTGGCAAACAGATTTCATTATTTCGAGGGTCTATTTTAGTATATCATGCACATGAAAGTGTGGTAGGGCTGGAGGGCTAAGGTGGAGATTTGGACTCAGCAAGCACAGCATTCCAGCAGTAGCTTGGACTACATTTCCCAGAAACCCTTGCTACCGCCAGCGGAAGTCCTCTGCAGTCTCTTCCTGGAAAATGAAACAGGACTGTTCCTGGGAGGGAGGGCCCACAAAGAAGCCCCAAAGAGAGCCAGCATGCTGCTGGTGGGTTGGCTTCTCTCTTTCAGGAGGCTCTCAATACAATTTTCTGGGAGAAAAACCCACTCTGTGCCTCTCAAAGTAAACCTTTATTTTGGGAAGGGAAGGACCCTAGGCTCCAGCAGCAAAAGCCAAGGCCAATTCAGGTGTAGGTTCACCCTTTCCCTTGACCCAGAGGAAAGCGGGAGCCAGATGCTCGGCTGTTTTGTCTCTTTCACACAAAACATGCCCTGGCTTTTACACAAATGAAATGGTCCTGCTGGGTACTTTAAGATTTCTTTCTAAACCCTGCTTAGTTTCCCATTCGTGAAGGTGGGTGGACAGTTATTTATCCTGGGCATCTTTGAGACTTGGAAACCATGTCCTTCTTTCCTACTGTCTTTTTGCCCTTCCGTTTCCCCTTCTCTCCTCCCTTCTATTCTCTCTCCTATTATCACTTCCTGATTTCTCTGTATCCAACCCTCTTGTCCCCTCTCTTTCTTTAATAACATGCACTTAATTGAATGGGAGATAAACTGGGCTTCCTAGTCCCCTAAAGAGTTACACTGTCGGAAACTCACAGGGCAGTTGTATCCTGTCCTATAGGGTGGCTATGAGTCGGCATGAACTTGATGGCACTGTGGGGTGTGTGTGTGTGTGTTTTAATTTCCAGTAGAACCCCAGACCTCAACGCTGATCAATTCTAGAAGGAGCACTGCTGTGCCATGCAGTCAAGTTCCGAATCAATTTTTCCCCTAAGAAATCACTGAACACGAATTCATTTGTTCTCAACCACCAAGTTTCTACCCTGACCTTGCCTTTTTATACAAAATATTACACAGAAATTTCAAAGGAAGTAAGTTCAAAGTTTAACGATATAACTAAGAAACACATCTTTAAAGTTTTTATAGCAATAGTATGGCCTATACCTTGAAATTGCTGAGCATCTGGATCTGTGGACACAGATGTGGAGAGGAGGGATGGAGAGAGAGTCACTGCTTCTGAAGGGGAATCCCCTTCCATCAAAGCAGTTGGTAGCTGTTTTTCAGGATTTTTTTTTTCTCTTTGATATCTTTTTTTATGGCTGGCTTTCTGTAAAAAAAACCCAAAAACAACACCTGTGTGATGTGGTCGGCTGTTGGTTGGGGTTTCCTTAACTGTTTTCTAAAAGGGTTTACTAAATTATCATGAGCAATATTGATAACACAGTTAACCAGTTCCTTATCATGGTGTTTCTTTTCAAAAACCTTTCTTAGGACCCATGTTTTTGAATCTAAAAACAGTCTAAAAAGCCACCAAAACTAAGGAAATTATCTCAAAAGGCTTGGAACACAGCCGCCGCAGGTTTAAACAATGTGTACTAACAACACCAACATGGGCGAAGGGAGACGGTATAAAATATGAAAATAATAATAGTTTATAAGCAGGCGGTATGAGATATGAAAATAATCATCATCATGCATATTTCATCAGGGGTCTATGAGGGTGGAAGGGTGGAGGAGGGAGGGCATAAAGAGGAGCTCACACAGAAAGTACTTTGAAAATTATGATGGCAATATGTGTACCAATATGTCTGATATGGGAGGCAATAGGTCTCCTTCCTTCATGGAGGGGGAGTTATTCCACAGCCGGGTACCCTGTAGATGGGCAGAAGTAGAACCTTCCATGTCCATATCCTTAGGCCTCCCCTGTGGCCAAGACCTCCAGAAATAGACGGTGGCCCTGTGCTACTTTAAATAAACAAGAATGGGTCATGCATGTGCATGCAATGCAATCAGAAGAGATATGATTTCCTCGGCTGAAAAATCAAGGTTTGTTGTTTTTACTTTGTTTCTTTTTAAAGCTTCTCGCTCACATCTAAGAAAAAATTCAACAAACTTAATTGCTTTATGAATTTCAACTGTCCATCTTTGGGAAACTATGCAAATGTCATTCAGGGTGTTTCAGTCAGTGGGATGGGATCTTAATAGAACTGGCACATATGAAATCCGATGGTATCTGCCTCCTGCCCACCACCTCCAGCCAAGCACTTCCTACTTCTCTCAAACATGGCGGCCAGGGAGGCCATGCCCTACTACGCCCAGAGCTGGCAAGCCTGTCCCCTGAGATAAATTTCTGAGGGAACTTGGTTCTGAGACTTTCGCACTAACTTTGGGGGTGGCATG